ATCCGAACTTTCATCCCGTCTCACTATGGGAGCCCGGAGAGCCGTGATTGCTTCGATGTTTGTCGTCTATTCTTATTGTTGTCTCCTTTTGTCCTAGTGAACTTCGTTACTTTTGATTGGCTGGTATATTAAGACTCCACCCTCTCTCCCTCCAATCTTACACTTTGGTTGCCTCGAGTATGTGCTAGGTGATTCTTTCATCCTATCTTTAAGGTTCATCTTTAGGGTTCAGGAGTGGACGAGGAGGGGTCTTACTTATGGTATTAGATTTCTTCGCCAATTGGCCGGTCGGCTGCCTCTAAGACATTGTGAGCTCAGGATCTTTTGGTGAAAAAGATAGCGATTAGTCAATTAGATTTATTAAGGTTCCAATTTCGAGCACTTTTATTAGTTAGCTTAGTAATACCGTAATTAATATTACTAAGCCCAAAGAAGAGATTTTTTACACGTGCCTAGTCACGGGTATCTATGGGTAAGCTAAGAACTAGAGTGAGCCCGACATCATCCTTAACACCTCTTATGACTAGGAAAGCAGAGGAGATTCTATCAATTTTTCAAAAACCGGATGGAGGTGAGGGGAGCAGGATTCGAACCCACGACCTTTCAGATGATACCGAAAACACACCAAGCTTAGATCTTTCTAACTGAGCTATTCTTCCTAATTTAATTAATAGCAAAAGAAAAAGTGAAAAGAATATATTCATTTTAATAGCAACCAACCTTTTAAACAAATTTAATATTTTGATTGAAATTATATATATAGTAGTTATATTGTTCATTAATAGTTTTATTATAATGAATTGGCTAATACGTAATTAGTTACTAATTCAAAATTTGAATTATTCTATAATAGTACTGTTATAATTGATAAGTCTATTATAAAACTTACTCTAATTACTCGATTAGTAAGTAGCCATCGTAGTAATTTAATAAATTAAAAATTAAAATGCAAATTAATTCTAATTAACAAAATCTTTAATTACGATTGTAAATAAATGAAAAAGTAATATTAGAGGTATTAAAAGTAATAAATAAGAATATAAATAAGGAAATTAAAAGTATTTAAAGCTAAATTAGTAAATAAAATTACCCTTCACATCGAAGCCCATAAGAGCTGGGATTGAAAGAGTACTATACTTAACACTCTAGTTGATGCGAGCCGACGCGAATCAAATAGAGTAATTATGACAGGCTGGAGTGTATATGCTTAGACGGCCAAACTTATAAAAGATAGGACGATGTTCTGCTTGGAAGGCAGAACTTGAAATGTACACTATATAGCCAATGCCAACTTGTGACACTAATATAGTAAAAGGGGGAAATGCAAAGGAGAAAAGTGTGACGGCGCTAGCAGCCAGCGACCCACATATAGGTTCCGCTATCACTCGTGCGACCAGGGTATTTTTCTTTAAGTTTGCACGCTTGTATCTAGTTCTCTTCTTTTCTTCTTCTTCTAATTTGAAATCTTTTGTCATGAATGGAATCTTAGCTTTACCTTTGACTCTCTTATACTATACCCTTGCAGAAAGTACAGAGGAAGAAAAAAAGAAATTTAAAAACGTAATAGTAGTAAATTATTTATTATTTTATAATTGCGGGGTCGATATATTGCAATGTAGGATCTTGCTATTAAAAAAGCTTAAAGAACTACTTAATAATAAAATTACTTCATTTACTTAATTAGAAGTTCTAATTGTAGAATCTA